TACCTCAGCCCCACTCCCTCCCTTTATGTGGGGGCCTTAATCTGCCCCCCACCCCACCCCTTCCCTCCCACTGCAACAGACTTACCAGCTGCACTCAGCTCTTCAAGCTGCCAGGCTCTGCTCCTCACCGCCTATATGCTGCGCTGAAGCTCTGCACATGCACGGGCATTTATCGGCCAAGTTACTGGCCACATCAGGCTGATTTCCGATACAGTAAATGTTCTTTATATCAGTGCCGATCCAGTATCGGACCATGGTATGGGTGCACCTCTAGTTTCCTGTACCTAATACTAAAAAATTTAACAGCAGAAAAAGGCATGCTGTAACAACAGGTACATGGCAGGATACTGGAAGGACTACAACTATAAACTTCCTGAACAAACCAGCAATGAAAGTGTTTCCCAGACAGTAAGAAAAAGCAGTAAGATTCACCTTCTTGTTAAAGGTGACCCGCAGAAAAGGATTTAGTAAAATCTGGTAACTTTAAGGCATCAATCCTGTAATTCTAAACAGCAATGTAGTAAGGATATTTGGCAGGGAATTAAAGCTCACCTTTAGAAAGCACTGATGTCAGCTATTTTTCCATCTGATACTCTTTCCCTACATCATACTGGAGATACCTCATATACCACAGGATACTTGAAGCCAGACTATTGTGGTCAAATTTAATTCCCAACTTCTTGTACACAAACCCTGCTCAGTTGGGCCAATCTAACAGGGCTACCTTTGCAGCATTAACACAACGTTGTAGACTGTCACATGAACAGAAAATAGTCTAATAAAATTACATTCCAAATGTCCTTATCCTTGACATCTGGTGAATTTAACATGAAATTCTAACTTGCATTTTTGGTAAGTCTATTCTGCATGTAACCTTAAGCGTTGCCAAAAGCCCCACTAAAATAACAGCATTCATATATTTGCGATAGCAAAGGATAGTTCAAAATATGCCTGTTTAGTTTGCAAAACAAGATTTTGCGAAGTTGGGATACTGTATCTCTGCCTTTTATCAACATGCAATTGTAAAATGGTTGTCTCCAATCTTCCTGAAGGAGTGTGATGGCCCAAATTTCTACTCAGCTCATTTGCTAAGTAACATTGTTCCTACTGAAAGAAATTATTTAAGTTTCCTTTGAATTAGAAAAAGAAGGTGCATAGTTCTGCAACTAATTATATCCCCACTCCACCCATGAATGCAGAGAAAGAAGCAGAGGTTTGTCTGAGCCAGCAGGGGAGAAAAGCTTTGGGCCCCATGAATTATATGCCTTCCTTCTTACTGAGCATCCAGTCTTTCAGTGGTCATGAAGTGAGCGCTCTGTGCCTAAATAGTTGGATAAAAGGATGCAATATTAATTCATAGACACATCAGTGCCAAAGGGTAAGAGAGATCTCCCTCCCTCGGGATTAAAGTAGGGGGTAGGCTTTGCAGCTTGCTGTGGGAATAATGCTAGTTGCCTTTTTTGGAGCTAAGGAGGAAATTTTCTCCTTTGGCTTTAATAAAGTTTGACCTTTTGAAATTGAGAGCCTTCATTATGAAACTAAGTTCTATAAAAAAAAAACAAACAGTCTACTGCTTGAACAACATTAATTTTAAGATCATACTCCCAAAACTTTTTTTTTCCATTTTAACTACTATAACTTCCTTTGTCTGACAAGAATAGCAACGATTTGCCAGAGATGACCTTTCATCTGCCAGCGTACCACATTTGCTGTTAATGTATATCCTGCACCATTCACCTTAAGGCATAACTTGCCTTTTAACTGCTGCCAAACATTGTGCAAGTTGTTCTAATGCATCATCTCCCTCAAATATCTTTCCTGGCCTGTTTTATGTATGAAGATTTTTTTAATACATACTGAGGTGTGCCAGGGCAATGAGTGAGAAACCTTAAGAAAAGGTCTTACAAAAACTGACATGCAAAGCTTAAACAAAAATGCCCTCTGATAGTCATTCATTGTCCATTGAGTGATATTACAGTCATCATGCACACTGTAACTCACTAAGCAGAGTATCAGAGTCTCAACCTTCTTAGGTGCAAATGTTTAACACATGTCCCAGTTCGTTCTTCGCTGCTTAGTGTCTAACAAACAGTGACTATATCATTTACATTAAAAAAACCCAAAATGTTTTAAAAGAAACCATGGTATTTAAGCTAATTTTATACCTGCTTTATGGCTGTTACAGTTATGACAAAGAATAATGGCAATCCACTTGTAATAGGACTGGTAGGTGTATCTATCATAAGCTAGAGAAAAAGAAATGAGAATGTTAGTTTCAAGCTTGTTTTTAAAATACTTTCCAAGTAACTTAGAAAAAACAAAAGCAATAACAATTTTACCATACAAGCAAGACTATTCAAGTCAACAAGGCTCTTAATGCACTGAACATAGCTGCACACATCTAGCAGTGCCAACAGTGATATACACCTCAGATAAAAGAGCAATAGTGAAGATCATAAAAGGATATTTCCCTGGTGTATGTCGCATCATTTTGCTTTTAACACCATTTTCTATCCTACCAAGTTGAGTTGAATGTTAAGATATGCCATGGAACTGCTTCTATGCAGTGTGTAATGAATTATCCTACTTTTTATTTTTGTAAGCTAACAGTCATCTTTGATTCAAACTGAAAAAAATGAAACTTTTATAAAGTATCCCCTTGCGCAGATTGCGCCTGTCCACTTCCCGCAAGTAAACTGTGCAGATTCAATCATTTCATAGAAATCACAGAACATGAGGGTTGGAAAGGACCTCAGGTCACCTAATCCAACCCCCTGCTCAGAACAGGACCACCCCCAACTAGATCATCCCAGCCAAAGCTTTGTCTAGCCAGGTCTTGAAAACCCCCAGGGATGGAGATTCCACCACCTCTCTGGGTAACCTGTTCCAGTGCTTTACTACCCTCCTAGTGGGAAAATTCTTCCTAATATCTAACCTAAACTTCACTTGCTGAAAGATGAGCCCATTGCTCCTCGTTCTGTCATCTGTCACCACTGAGAACAGTCCAGCTCCATCCTCTTTCAAACTCCCCTTCAGGTAGTTGAAGGCTGCTATTAAATCCCCCCACAGTCTTCTCTCCTCTAGACTAAATAGGCTCAGTACAATTAGTGCTGTGCAATATGTGCAATTTCTGCCATGGTACCAACTGCAGTGCCAACACTAACAACATCTACAAGTGCGTTGGCAACTTCTTTTGACAGCAGTGGGTTCAAGGGCTGCAGAGAAAAGATACAAGGAGAAATTCAATATACTAATGTTCATTTATTCAAATGTATTAGGTTTATTTAGGGGTTGATGTAAAAGTAGGTTCAGGACAAAATTACTGATCTCTCCTCAAAAGGTCCTTACTGGAATGGGAGCTCATAATGAAGTTACACTGGTTCCTCATATGGCTTTGCCAATCACATTTTGTTTTAAAAGGTTTTTGTAGTAATAACTATTTTGAGCATTACCTATATTTATGTTTGTATAAGATATAGCCCCTCCCCACAACGATTCATGCTAAGCTCTATTAAAACAGCAGGTTACTCTCCCAAGAGAAGGGCTGAAAACAGCATTCATGACTACAGCCTACACCTCAGGTCAGCAACCTAAAGCTCACAGGTGGGATAATCTGTTAAGAGACTGAATCTAACCTGAAGAAGTCTGATCCATTCTGCATTTTATTAGTGGTACACTGATCTGTTGCTACCCAGCTGTCAGATCTGCCCACCTTCTACTCACAGCCAGCCGATCACCTGTCACCTCTCCAACACTGCTCTGTGCAGAGTAGTGCTCTATCACACACCAAAAGCAGTGGTGGCTGTGTGGTAGAGTTTCTGCCTACTATGTGGGAGATCTAAGTTCAGGTCCCAGCTAGGTCAAGTAGGTGTGAGTGAAGTGACAGGGGAGAAATTCTTTTTTTCAGGCCCTATGCGGAGAGGCTAAAGGGCCTGAACCCATCCAGTCTCCACAAGAGAAGGCTGAGAGGGGATCTGGTGGCCATTTACAAACTCACCAGCAGGAACCAGCAAGAACTGGGGGAAGCTCTGTTCCCCCGGGCACTACCCAGGGTTACTAGGAATAATGGCCACAAATTGTTAGAGAGAAGGTTCAGGCTGGACATCAGGAGACATTACTTTACAGTCAGAGCTGCCAGGCTTTGGAATGGACTCCCAAGGGAGGTGGTGCTCTCGCCTACCTTGGGAGTCTTCAAGAGGAGGCTGGACAGATATTTGGCTGGGGTGATATGATCCTGCCTGATGATCTGTTTAGGTCCCTTCCAACCCTAAGCACTATGAAACTATGAAATGCAGCCTCCCCTGAAAACTGTGCTGTTGCTTGCCACACATTTCATGGCACATTTTTGGCAGAAGCTCCAGTGGGGTTAGAAAGCAGCCCTCCATACATAGCAGGGATGGCGACAGGGTGCATAGTGGTGCCTCAGGTGGAAGCACTGGCTCACCATTAGAAAAGGCTGGTGACTCCTGGCCTACATAGATAAGACTTAGAAATGTTTAAAAAGATATTTCCAATCTTCAAATATGCTACTGAATGTTTACTGTTTCTGAATTCAAAAAAGAAGGTGCAAGGAACAAGACAAAGTGCTTGGGATGAACAAGGACAGCACTGGAAGTCAAAAGCTGCCCTATTCTAATTCTAGCTCTTTTATCAACTTACTGAAAGCCTTGGGCAACTCTTTCGAACTCTCAAGTATTCCCACCTCTAAAACAGCATAGATGACTTATCTGTCTGCTTCAGAAGGATGTTCAAGACTGTTCTGAAATGAAGTGCTTTGAACAGGTCTAGCTGTATAAAAATTGTAAGTACAATTGCTGAACTGGTGACAAAGATACCCTTACATGTGTCAGGTAGCGATACTACACACATTCAGAATCTAAAGAAATTACTATCAGGTAGTAAAACAGGCTAAACATGTCCTACACTGCTTTGGCATTAGCATCAACTCAGGTCTTCATGCATCTGGTTTTTTTTAAAGTGTATTTTGACCATCTGCCAGCCTCAATGATGAATTTTCAGAAATTTGTTTTACATATCTACATTGTTTAATTTGTAAATTTTAGGGCTGCATAACATCTGCTTAATGAAATACTCTTACCAAAAGAACCTTCAGGACAAAATGGGAATTTTATATTCCAATATTATAGGATAATGCAATCCCAACTCAAGGGGCAAGCATAACTATTCAATACAAGTGTGCTTGGAAGTTCAGACTTTTGCAAAGCCATGCCCAGAAAACAACTAGATAAAGAAACTGTGGCAGCAGAAGTCTCATTCTACTCTGCTTATATGTTATTAATTTATATAAAATTGAGGTGAACTGACTTTGGAATTTATTGAGACATGTTTGTGCTACAGTCCTTATGGATGTGATCAGCTGAATTCTTCCAGATGAAATCCCATCAGGAAAGGAAGGTAACTTCTTTTACTGCTTATTCTTTTTGTCCAGTTTCACTGTTTTTCAGACACTGGTGCAGTCCTGCAACTGTGTAATACTGCAAACACTGAAACTGTTTTAAAATTAAAGTTAAGGGTATTTGAAGTTCACATAAATAGAAAATATTCAAAGTAATGCTTCACAGTCCAAATTCAGGAGTTTCCTTTCAGTATTTAGGTCCCCAACATCCCTATAAACTACTCAAGCAATTTTACAGACTGGAAAACTGAGAAAGATTAAATGATTTGCCCAATGAAGAAAATGAGAGCAGTGACTACAACCCAATAAATCATAATTTGCAGCTCCATGGTAGCAGATTATAATTGTCATCCACTTACCTGAACCAAAAATATAATCAAAAAATAAAAATTGGCTACTCTTCTGAACTGCTCAAATAAATTTTTTGGAATGAAATTCCACACCGTGTACTGCAAAGAAAGAGAGAAATGTGGTTATATAACATAACACATTGCATAAATTGCCAATGAAGTTAGAGCACTCTTAAAGTTCCTTCAGTCTTTTCCACTCAGTCCCCCACCCCTCCCCCAAATTCTTTCACTTGTAGTTTTCTCTTTCCTTTCCTCATTCTCATGGTCTTCACCTAACAACCTTCTAAACGTTGTTCCTTTTTCTTTCCCCCACCCCACTTGTCTGTCTCTGCAGCATAACTAGTTCTTTCTTGTGGAGGACCTGGAAATCATGACTGGCCTAGACAGAGAAGCTGCCATGCTACAGCAGTGGCAAATAAAAACTTTCCTGCCTCACTGCACCTTCCTCCAGCCTCCTGAGCCAATCAGTTGCTTGTTAGGTAAGGATGCCAGTCGCTAAGGACATCCTCTCCCCATCAGTTACATTTACATACCTATGGCCAGCATGCACTAAGGAACGGATACATGCAGCTCGACATCCTACACACACTGATGTGCACTACACTTGTGGGGCATGGCTGGCTACTCTACAGATTCCATTCTCTCCAGTCCCATGTTTAAGTGTATGCAGGTGATGAACATAGTTGTGGAGAACCTGATTAAAGGCCTCCCCTAAATATTACAGGTATTGTGCAATTAAAGAGACCCTGCAACAAATGGGGCTCTTGGCTCCCACAGCTGGGACCGAGAGACCCCACAACTGATGGGACTCCTAGTCCTGGCTGCGCCCTGACAGTTGTGGGGCTCTCAGCCCCAGCTGCACATGATGGGCGGCTGGGAGCAAGACTCCCATCAGTGGCAGGGTATCTTGGCCCCGGCTGCGCGTAACCCCCATAGCTGGGAGCCACCTCAACAAAGGGGACTCCCAGCTATGACAGCCTGCTTCTTATCAATTATGTTCCCCTGCAGTGGCAACAAGGTGTGACTGGAACTAATAGGCAATCCCTAAATCATGCCTTCTGACACACACATGTAGCACAGCAGGAGGCATGATTAGATGGATCATTCATTCGATCCAATGCCTTTATGTGCACAAGTAGAGGGAGCCAAAGACTTGCCTCTTTTTCTGCTGGATTTTTCTTAAATGTTGGTCAGCCTGTAATTAGGTGGAGGTTTCTTGGATGGGGTAGGGAAACCAGAAACCTGAAGAACAGGTCTAGCATTTTTAATTTGGGTTCATTTGCAGCTTTAAATGTTGTACAGGTGCTATGAGACTAATGAGAAACATCATAAAAATAAAAAAAAAGAAATACAACTACATATTAGAAGTATAGATACTCCATGACATTTTAAGTGACATGCAATCTATATCAGGCAATTTGGACAAAGTATATTGATTTGTCTTTACCTTTGATGATATGATTCTATTATCTGCAAATTTCTGAGGAACGTAATGGCCATGCTGGGGAAAACGGTTGGCTATATAAATAGTTCGTGTATCACTTTGATGCGGTGGGTCAAAACCCTAAAAGACAGAAGAGTAAAAAGCAGATGATCAACAAGAGGTATTTTACAAAAAAGTTAGTTTGATCAGAAATGGCTTATAACATTCTGCTAATCCTTAAATTGAAACAGTATCCAAATTTTACCAAGAATCTTCCCTTTCATTAGCAGGTTGGCCTTTAATGGCACCTAATTACATTTTGAATAATGTATATGTTCTTTCAACCTTCACTTTGGCTAGAGAATTTTGAGAGATCCAACAAAAACAAATCTAACTGTGTATGTGTACTCACTCCTTCCGGATGTGTCAGAAAAAACCTCAAATATCAAGGAGGAAGGAGACCACTTGTAAGTTGTACAAACAGAGGGTGAAAGTTACTGCCTTATTAGTAAAACCAGAGGACAGCAAGTCTGAGCAGGAAATTTGGTTCAGTGTGGGTACAAATAAGGAAGAGATGAGCAAGAATGGAGATGAAAGCATAGCAGGATTTTACAGATATTTATAGCTTCACTTTGGAAAACTAGAAGAAATAACTGAATTTCGAGGGAAAGATTAAATAAACAAGGGGTACCATTATGCCATACT